GAAAACAAGTTAAATAGTGGCTTATTTACTCATCAAGCAGCAACATTAGCATTAATTTGGAGATGCATTTGTGTCCACCCGACAAAGGTTACTCTAATACTCCCTCTCTTTTTGGCTCCGTTTTGCTCATGATGCCAACTATGGGGGGGCTCGGCTCTGGGCAATTCATCACTAATTTATTATAGTAAAGACACCGGCATGTATGCAATTCTTGTCATCACGGTAAACTTTCTCTCTCTCTCTCTCTCCCCTCGCCACTCTCCACACCTCCATGGTGCTGAAACACGCACATCACCAGTTCCTCCTCATCAGTTTTTCTTTTCTTATTATTAATATTCTTATCAATAAGAATGATAAATCAAGCCAAAATACATGCTTTAACAAATGTATCTGTCATTTAGTCTGACCACGAAAAAGTTAAATGAAGTGAGCTCCCCTTAAAGCTGTATTATAGTTTGCACATTGCTTTTGCTTTCCACCAACTCTGGAGGAAAAGCATCTGCTTCTTTACCTACTAAATGCTCCACTAGTCACTAACTTTGCCTGTTGCTTGATGCTGTGTGGGTAGTGCCTGCTGAAAAGAGTAGTGAGACTGAACCAAAACAGTAGGCAGGAAAGACCAACATGGTCATTTTGATCCATTACAGTGCTTCCCACATACTGAGCTAAGTTTTACATAAGCTCCTGTAGAAAAAAAAAAGATGCCGTTTCAGTAAAACAACAGAGAATGTGCAGATAATATGTTATAGTAGTTTTATAAGATTACACAAAATACAGAAGGAAAAAGTTGCCATTTGTTTATCTGGACATATACAGTACCTGTTCAGACTCATCAACTCTTTGAGGATAAAATGTAATTTTAGTGAATTCATGGCGTTTTAATATGGCTTTAACTTTTGTATCCTCAGTCCTAGACTGCAGTAAAACATGAACAAAAAAAGCATGTATGCATCCATCTTATTTGATTGTATTAAAAAAAATGTGCCCTTTAACTTCTTTGGTAGCCTCAACTTGCACTCATGTGCATCTGGTAAAGGCAGAACTTGTAATTGCTCACCCTGCAAGATCTGTGGTAGATGAAGATTAATTTGGTTTGTAGTCTAGTTAAATAAATCACAAGGCTAACCCACAAGCCTCATTTCAGATGAGATTAAGCACAAAATTCAACACACACACACACACACACACACACACACACACACACACCAAAAACACGAGTTAGTAGGAATGAGAATTTACAATCACTCATCTGTCAGTCAACTTGACTTAGTTTTTAAAGATTTATGTTTGGAAAAAAAAACCAGCTAAGTTTCTGGTGTGAGCAGATGGAAGTAAACAGTGACTCTATTCCCAGCAGTGGAAGCAGAGGAGACACGCTGCCAAGGCTACTGAGGCAACATGTATGTCAAAGGATCATAACCCTGCCCAATGAAATGCGCCTAAAATCTGTCCTATCATATATAAACTGTAGTGGGTGTTTAGAAAGCGTCCTGTCGGACTACGTTAGGCCCATGTGTGATGACCCATTTATAGTAGACTGACCACTGTCAGTACGTGTGAGCGTTACCACTACCTTTGTAAAGACCATTTTGAACATTTTATCTTTCCACAGTCCATCAGCATTTCAGCCATCCCCTACTGCTTTTATTTTGGACACACTGTGAGGCAACTTGCATATTTGAGATGACTGTATAATCCCACTAGTCAAAGGCAGGTTTGTGGCATGTCATTATAAAATTCCTGTGCTGTAACCTGTACCAAATTAGAGCATTGTTTCAAAGAAACCTCCTAAGGCTTTTTTAAATAAAGTATTACCTAACAATGTTATAATTGATTCAACTGTGTATTTGTTTAGTTAGATGTCACAAAATTGTGAAAATGCCTGTTGCTGTTTCCCAGAGCCCAATGTGACATCCTCAAATTTGCTGTGCAACTCTCTGAAGAGGCCAAAGCATAAGAGGCGGTGATGGACTAATAACAGCTATGGGCTGGTAAAGATGCTGTACTGAGGTGGATGGGATCTGTTAATGCTTTAATTTATGTAGCATCACTACATATGGGAGACACCACAGGTAATATGTCCAAGTTTCTCTATCACAAAGATATTTCAGAAGTCACCCTGACATTTGTCTGATTCTGATCGCCCTTTATGTATAAGAACTATTTTAAAACATGTAATGTCACCTCTGGACTAAACTTCAAGCCAGTTTTCATCTCTGCTATTTTAAGATACTGAATGTAAGCTTCAATGGCACCGTACCGACAGCCATGTTATGTGTGATTTCTATTTTAAACGTTAACATTGCAACTGTGTAAAAAGGCAAAAAGATTAAATGTGTTCCAAATGTGGACAAAAAGCAAATCATGCCACTGTTGCTGCTGCTGTTCTGCCACCACTGCCACTGAGGGATTACATTACCATAAACCCATGATAATCAGCTGTAAGTCCCTCATTAGATTAGAGAGGAGACTTTATTTTGCTCTCTGAAATGCAATTTCATTCATGCAATTTTTACACTAATAATTTCCATTGTACCCATAGGTTGGCATATTGTTTTACCTATCAACTGACAACAAAATCCAGGTTTAAAAGAAATTAATAATGATGATGAGAACTTACATCAATGCCTAGCAACAACAACTTTGGCTCTATTTTCCTAAAATAGGTTGCAGAAGCAAATGTAAGTCTAAGCTCCAGGCGAAGGCACATATGGGTGTATCCCAACAATTTTTTTGCAATTGTGGTGATCTCTGCAGCCAGACGCAACGTGGGGGAGAGGCTAAATACATTATTAGTGAGAGGAATCCACCATAAGCAGCTGGAGTCTTGGTGGACTTTAGTAATGGCCAATAAAACCAGCTCCTCTCAGTCCCTTTAAAAGCACTGTGGAAACCTGACTGTGATTGATGTCACTGATGTCATGGTGGCTGATTTGGAGCGAGACTCTCTAAAAAACTTTTCACATGAGGAAACTGATATGCTTGTGCATGAGGTGCAGAGCCACCGTGACACCATCTGTCTTTTTCTCATACCAGTTATGTACTCCGTTCCTAAATGATGTGTCAACCCATACTAATATTTATAGCCACATACTGAGCTAGTTTATTACTAGTTTCTCTTATTTGAAGATAATCTTTATAAATTAGATCCATTTCATAATTCAGATAATTTCATAACTAATTATTAAGTGAATTTCAACAGATTGATTGTGGATTTAAGGCTTTATTTTAAGTTGGTGTGGCTGTTAAAATACATGTACTGTAGATGCCATAAAAGGTTTTAATACAATCAAAATTTCAGGACAAAATGAGCACCAAAATTTCACTGTGCTGCCTAATCAGCATAAACACAACCTCAGCTGTGCCTCTCCTCCCACCTCAGTGTACCGTAAGGTCATAAAATCATGGCAGGAAAATACCAAAACTCAACAATATGCAAAAAAAAAAAAAGAGATTTGTGCCCAAAGAAAAATACAATAATTGTGGAAAGACTGTGAAGCTTTGCTGGCATTGTTTTGACAGGAAAATAGAGCCCCTACTTTGTCGTATGTTATTATTCCAGACCAGTCCTTCATTTAATCACCCTACTCAAGTACACTGCCCCTTATGTGGGCTGATATTATTGGTGAAGGCCATAAATATCTCTTGTTCTTCTCCCAAAATACAGGAACATAGCCAAAGAAAATTGCAAAATATGACTACAGGCTCATCTTGTTAATACTTTCTCTGCTGAATCCCTTTACAACATACAATGCCAGCCAAATGCTTCTCACAAATAAAAGGAATAATTTTGTCTTCAAGAAACATTTCCTTAGTCAGAAACTCTAATACTAAATTGTCTAGCTGGCAAACCAGAGGCAACCTGACAGCCTAATGCTGCAATTACATTAAACCCATTCAATACATTTTTCTATAGAGGAAATGATTTGCTGAATCTTATTCTGACATTACCAGGACAACAGCTTTTTGCTATTTAATATGAGCTTCAGCAAAAGCTTACATATACAGTATGTTGTAACTGCTAAACAGATTTATTCTGTCTGTTGCGTTTGAGCTAGAAAATCCACAGATCGAACAAACATTAAACCTGAGTATACCGCTACCAAACAGTGGGCCATCTCCTGTTGCATTCAGGCAACTGTTTGTTAACAAGCACAGAAAAAATGGTTTTCTGCCCAATGCTGGATGCCTGGGGAGGAACCTTCAGATGTCTGTTCGACCAAGACTCTGCT